ACATTCCTGAGAGCTTGGGGTCCTCGCAAGGGGGCCATTCCTCCTCCAGGCTGTGACCCCTGTTCTCACATCAGAGGCTCTCAACCTTCAAAATCCCTTCTCCTCTTCCTCCTTCTGGGCCCTCTTCATGTCCGGTTTGGGCGGCCAGTGGAGAGTGGTGTGTCCAGATGAGTGGTGTTCTCTGGTGTTCTGTAACCGAACACTGAGCTACTGAGATCTCAGTGCCAGAGGCTTTGTCTCCTCGACTGAAACCACTTCTGAGTTAAGCTCTTGTCAGTGGCCATCACTTTGACCACCTCTCTCAGAGATCTGATGGCACTGAGGTCACTTCCCTAAGCCCTCCTTCTGTTTAGAGTCTGGTTCAACTTTTTGCATCCAAAGGACAAAAACAACCCAACCATCGCTGTGGCTGGTCAGACCACTAGCTCAGGACCTTGTTAGGCTTCAGGCCACTGGGGAAAGGTCACCAAGTTTGATATCAGTAAAAAGCCCATAGCCTGATTCGGGAATAAGACTCTTCACCTCCCTGTTCCAGCCGCAACCCACCCCCCCCACACACACAACTCACAGAACCAAGGGGGAGAGAAAATTCCAATTGCGTGCATTCTTATTTTAATGAATGCATATTGGTGGAAGTGAAGAATGCTTATGGGTGTGCAGGTTTATGGAAAAAACACAAAAAGGTGAAAATTCAGCAGACTCCGGGGAGGCAGGTGACAGTACTTCTCACACCCGTTGGGGGGGTCTCCTTTGCACCATGGCTCAGTGGTCACCTCTGAGGTAAAGATTTCCCACTCTGCATCTCTACGCTGACCTCTCTCCTGAGTCCCAAAGAGTATTTTCAGTGAATGTTCCTGCCTGGAGGACCCACTATCAACAGCAAAGTCAATGTGTTGAAAACAAAACTCAGTATCTCGGCTCAAAGCCTGCCCCTTTCCAGGTGTCCCACCCCAAGGAAGGTCACCAGCATAAACCCAGTCACTCGAGCCAGAAGCCTGGGAGTATTTCCTGACCCTCACCCTCTGTGTCCTGCCCATCCTGCCTCCTCCAAGGTCCCCTGAACCGTTTAACCTCTCCCACCCCCACCAGCACTGTCCTTGTCCCGGTCACCCTGTGTCCTCCCCAGGGCACTTCATGGCTAACTTGACTCCTTGCCTTTACCCTGGCTCTCTTCAGTCCATCTGACCCCAGCACCCACCGTGAGCCTTCTGAATATAAATCCACCATGTCCCCCTTTGGGTAAAAGCTCTTGGTATCCTCTTTCATCCTTGGGTTAAAGTTTCAACGCCCTCACCTGTCCCACAAGGCCTTCCACATCCTGGCTTCTGCCCACCTCTCCCGCCTCACCTCTTGCCACACTCTCCTTTGAATGCTGCCCTCTAGCCAGGTTAAACACCTTTCTGCTCCTCACATATCAGAATTTTGCTGGTTTCCTATTTTTGCCTATGTGGCCTCCTCCCTCTTCTTTTTGTTACTGGAGCATAAAACACATACAGAAAAGTGCACACCACCTATATAGCTCAGGGAATGGTCTCCAGTTATGGAAAAAACACAAAAAACACACCCATATAATCTATGCCCAGACCAAGACCTGAAGAGGACTGGTATTCCAGAAACCTCCCTCATGCCCCTTTTCACTATTTCCCAAGGGAAATCACTACCCTGAGTTCTAATAGCATAGACTGATTTTTCCCACTTTCATACTTTATGTAATTAGAACCTACCGAATTGTGTCTGATGTCTACTGCTGCATAAAAAAACCACCCATAAATTTCACAGTCTAAAACAACCTGAAAGTCCCATCTCAGACTCATCAGTCCTTGCTGCCATGCTCTTTTGTCCACTTTGCCACCAAGCTTCTTGAAAACTGGCCACACTCCGTGTCCGTCTGCCCTTGCCCCCATTCACTCCGCGATCACTGCTGCGTCCTGTGGTTCTGCTAAAGCAGCTCTCCTTAGAGAGTGCCTGTTACCTCCATCGTGTTGAGCCAAGTGCTCAGTTTCCAGTCTTTTCCTCCTAACCCCCTGCCCCCAATTCTGTGAGTCCCCAAGTCCTAGTGATTGTCCCCCCTTTCACCCATCACGTATTTGTCCTACGCTCATCATCTCCTGCCTGGACTAACCAGCTGCCTCAAGGATACCTCCCTGCCCCATCCCGGCAGGCTTTCCGCTGATGACGAATCTGGACAGGCTTGCTGCTCACCATGGGATGAAACCCAAACTGCAGCAAGGCAGGAAGGCCCTGAACCCCTGCCTCCCCACGCCTGTGCCGCGGCCACACTGGCTCTGCGTCCCATGAACTCACCCCGGGGGGTCCGCTGGGAGGTTCTGTCTTACCCAAGATGCCCTTCGCCCCCTTCTCCCTCCAGACCTACTTATCCTCTCCATCCTACCTCCAAAGCCACCTCTGTAAAACTGTGCTGGTAACAGCTTCTTTTCTGACCCTGTTTGCTGCTATTGGTGTTAATAACACGCATTATCATTACTATATATTTGACTCACTCTCTCTGGAACATAAGCTCCTCAGAGCAGGATCTCTGTTTTGTTCTGATATATCCCCAGCTCCCACAACTGTGCACATAGTAGGCACTCAATAAACACTGGCTAATGAGTAGAAGGGTAACATTCACTGAGCCCTTATTTGACAGGTGTTTTTCCTGCAGGATCTCATTCCCTCCTCATCACAGTCCTGTGAGGAAGGAACTCCATTTTTATCCCAGATTCGCAAGGGAAGAAACTGACGCCTACTGCGATGAAACAGCTTGCCCAAGGTCACCCAGCTGATACATGGCAAAAGCTAAGACTTGGATCCTGATGTGTCCAAGCTCTAAATAACCTGATTCTACCATTGTTAGTTTGTCTCCAGTGCTGCTTTGCCCAAACCTCTCCTGGAGGTTACAGAAGGTCTTTAGCAAACAGAACAGTTATCTTGAAGTAGTGCAGGTACCTCTTTACATAGTAATCTCTTCATTATAGTATGAGTTCTCAGAGAACAGGAAGTGAATTCTAATTATTTTACCTCTCCACCACCACTACCCAAAACTCTAAAGAGTCAGCACAGTGTCTTACATGTTTGTGTTCATTAGATGTTTGTTGAATGAAATAACAGGCGTGCTGTTAAGAAGCAGTCCTTCTTGTCCAGTCAGTAATTCTGAGCACTGTCCTGACGATTGTCCCCAACCGCGTGCTACCTCTTCTGTGTGCTTCTTCAGCACGATAGAGGCTCCTGGCCATCCCTGGCTGACCCCCTTCTCCCCCCTGACCCCAGCCCTTTGCCATCCTTCCGGTCATCATGAAATCCCCTGCCTGTCTTCCTGCCATCAGTGGCCTGATCACGCAGAACGAGTTCGCCCAGCCCTCTCCTCTTCTTGACCTCACGGCCTGCTGGAACCTGGCTGCTTCCTGGGTCATTCTTGACAGGCAGGGCAGCATGACAGTTATGTAGATAATTGGAACACAGTTTGGATTGTGGTAAACAAAGAGAGAGTCACGAGGCAGGGCAGGAGTTATAAAGCAGGAGAAATTCCTTGTTAAATGATAGAGGAACTGGAAATGAATGAAGACCCTGTCCTTTTCATCTTGACACACTTTTTTTTTTTTTTTTAATTTTAAATAAGGAGCTTAGCTTCTCTCAGTTTGTCAATTATTTAGGATTGTTGATTGCAAGTAATAGAAACCGGAGTGGTTTAAGCTGAAAGGGGAAATTTATCATAAGGATACAGAATCTCTAGGAACCCAAAGGTTGGAATGCAGCCAGGCCTCAGGGATATATGGAAGCAGCTCCAGGAAGATAGTCCAGAATCTGGGCGGCAACCTCTTTCCATGTCTTGTCTTCACTGTCTAAGTACATCCGTCTCGTTCTTACTTCTCTGTAGACCTCCACTTGCCCACACACTTCATCATGGTGCATGGCTGCCAGGGGCTACTGAATATGTATTTGGCACAACTGCGTAACTCCCACAAAACTGCCAGTCCCCAGGGAAGTCCACCAGTCCCCAGGCCCTGTCCAGTCACCTGCCACCAGCAGAACCAGTGATGGTGTTCAGCATGGCTGCCAAGTGTCCATTTCTGTGCCAGAGAAGAAGCAGAATGGATCCTTCTGAGCTGAGCAAACTCTCCACAAAGGCCCACTACACTTTGTTCTGTTGTCTAATAATACTCTTATGAAAGAATTCCGGTGCTTCCCCAGGAATAGAAAACATGAAGAGGCATCCTGTCTTTGAGAGTCTTTTTCAGACACAAATACATAAAAATGAATTGCCATTTAGGAAACCTCACCTTAAATAACTAAGACAATGTTCCAGTGGTAGTTCCCAATAGGTTTTTAAGCCATTTCTGTTCATTGCAGGCTTGTCATCCTGGCTTCGCCCAGGAGCCTCACACACCTCTAGATGGTCCACTGGCCCACAGCGCTTGTGGTAAAGCAGACGGGCGTTGCTCCTTCCTCAAGGTCTTACACCAACGATGCTCACGCCTCCCCCTCAGCAGCCAGAGTTTCTCTCCTCTTTCACATAAGGCAGGGTAGTCAGGTTTGGGGAGAGAGAATCCCCTCCTTTTGAGGGAGTTCTGACAACTCCTGAACCTGGGTCACGGCTTCCTTGATGTGGTTTGAGGGCAGGTGAGAGGGATCTAGGATAGATCCTTCTTTCATTCTGAGCTGGCCTTGCACACTCCGTGATCCACCAGTGCAAGCCTGGGTAGGGCTAAACTCAAAACGTTTATCCAGCTCAGAAGTGGGAGCCCTAGAGGTAAGTTGCCCGAGGCAGCTCCAAAGTTTCGCATCAGTCTTCCTCAGACTTGGCCCTGTGGGCAGGGCTTCACTCACCGCGGCCTGGTGCCTGGGGATGACAGACCCTGCGTGGGCCTCAGAACAGGGGCTCAGCCCCAGGCTGTGGTGACGAGGGGCCGGGCACCATCCCGGAGGAGGGATTCTCCCACTCCTGAGGCCTGTTGTATTCGGCCCACACCTTCTCAGTGACCCCTCCCCGGCTTGTCTTCCAGGCTCCCCAGGGACAGCAGGCCGCGTGTGCAACCTGACTTCCCGCGGCATGGACAGCTGCGAGGTCATGTGCTGCGGGAGAGGCTACGACACCTCCCGGGTCACCCGGATGACCAAGTGCGAGTGTAAGTTCCACTGGTGCTGTGCCGTGCGCTGTCAGGACTGTCTGGAGGCCCTGGACGTGCACACGTGCAAGGCCCCCAAGAGCGCTGACTGGGCGGCTCCCACATGACGTCGGCGGAAGGCCCCGCCCACCTGCCCTCCTGCAAGGACTCCGTGGGATCTGCAAGGACCCTGGGCCACTGGGCTTTCTCGGGGAGATACTTCCTAAGGCATGTGACCTTTGTCTCAACAGAAGCCCCTTCTCCCTCCCTTAGGGCCCCAGGACAGGGGCCACATGCTGCACATAAAGCATGCCTTATCCTCCCCGACTTCCAGCATTCTGGGGGCACATCTCTTCCTGGTCAGGACAGACTGCTAAGAGGGGAAGGGGGGTGGCGGCGGGGTGGGGTTGTCGAGCTGATCCCAGTCTCCGCCCACCTAGACCTTTCCTCTTTCTGGAGCACTTGGCCAGAGGGAAAGAGTGTCCCAAAGGAGCTTTTTCTCTGTCTCACAATAAATGTTCACAGTTTGAGAAATTCTGTACTTCGCTCTGGAGGATAAAGACAGCAGGACCAATTGCCACTGAATTAACTTTAAATCTTGAAAAGACCAAGCAAGGCTTCTGCCTGATCAAGTGATTTTCACAGCCAACCCCTCCAGGGGTAATTGGTAATTGCTTGGAGAAGAATGGCTTTCAATGGACTTTAGGTTTCAAATGCATATTTTTCAAGGTGTTTATTGCCTTATTAAAGTCTGATGTGACAAGGTGGGACCATTGTCCTTTGGTACAGTTTGGAATCTTTACAATTTCAAGAGCCTCAGAAAGGAATTGCTCTGCATTACTGTCCCCTTGATATAAAGAAGCTTTAAGGAATGAGACTTCTTCCTTAGGATCTGAAAGGAATTTAAAAGAAGATTGGCAGTGTTCTGGCAGTGTTCTCTACCTATTGAAGGAAGATGGAGGAAAATAACTTGGTAAGTGGAATATCAGAAAATGTGTCTGTACAGATAAGGAAAAAAGGGGGAATGATATTTCTGTCTGTTATGATGCATGTGACCCGTGGAATTGTATAGACAAAATGGCTTTGAGAAAGAAAACTTCAGGGATGACAAGACCAGGGAACCAGCACGCTGACAGAGAGGTTTCCAGAGCTAAGTCACGCCTGCACCATAAACAGATGCCCAGAACGAGTTGGCCACGTGTGCCGAGGAGCACCAGCTTCTACCCATCCCCCTTCAAGCATGTTCAAAAGAGCTGTCACGTTGAATTGTGTTCATCTGAGGCCGGCAAGATGACAAGACCCCAGAGCCTAGAGCAAATGACACGCAGCTTTGCTTATATAGTTGGCAACCCTAGTATATTATACTGCAAACAAATCGTCATTTGGAGACTATATTTAAGGGACCAGCTATAATTATGGGAACATCAATGTGCAAATCGTGGCTGGCTTCGGCCATGAGACAAAAGATGACATTCAGGGAAAATAGAGAAGCTGCCACCCCATTTTGCAAAGTAAGTGAAAGAAAGGTGAAATATCTGAAGATAGTTCTCATCCCCTTGGTACAGTGAGGTTCTGGTTCTCAGTGTGGTCTCTTCGCATTTACTAAGAAGATGTTCCGTTCTCTGTACCCCATGCCCGGTGACAGGCTCACTCGTTCATTGGGAGCCTGGCCTTCAGTTTCTCAGTCCTTGCAGAACATCTAGACGGAGGCTCACGGAGAACAACCTGCTGGGATCCTTGGCCAGAATTAACGCTTGCCTCCTAGCCCTTGTCAAAACGACAGAATTCATCTCCATTCCCTCACTTCCAAACCCCAAAATTTGTCATCTGACTTTTCCAGAGTAGCTCTATCCTCTTCTTATTCTGTGGATTCAGAGGGTGGCAAGAGTGGAGCAGGAGAGAGTTGCTCTGAGCTCAGCGTGGGCCTTCAGGGGTGAGTGGGAAGTCCAGGCAGGTGGACGGTCTTAGTTACACTGCAGCTGCCTGTGGACGCCTCTCTGGGGGTGGTGAGGGGACTTGCACAGTGGTCCCACAGCTGTCAGCCCTTCTGCCTGCTGGATGAACTATGAAATCCTAACTCCATGGGTGCATATAGAAATGGAGAGGATCATCTCAGCTCCCTCCACTCTGTATCTGGGGAAGCTGAGACCAAGAGAAGTAAAGGCCTTTGTGCACTTATCTACCATTGCCCCCCATCTCCATGGCAAACAGAGGAGTCAGGAAAGTCAAGCACTTTATCTAATTTGTCTCAGAATTAACCCAAGTGGATTCTAAGTCATTTAGCATCCAAAGGGGATGGTCATGATTTCTTTTCATTGCTGGGATGTTTTGATCTGACTTTGATTTCATGCTGAGATGCAGCCTTCTTGATAATGAGCAAGGGCACAAATTTTCCTAAGCTGTAAGGGAATCCTAAGCTGTAAGCCATCTCAAGTGGCGGTGGGTGTGGCCATCACGGAGGGCACAATAAGAGAGTGAAGTATTTTTATCTGCTTTTACTTCTGAAAGAGGAAATCTCCACTACTAAGGGAAAACATTTAAAAACAGTTGAAGATAAATTCAAACTCATTTTCTTTAGGGTTTGGTGGAGGATCGAGACAGCATGATTCTAAGTCAGACTGAGCTCTTGATTACCCGAGGCTTTTAAGGGAATGTGTGGCACAAATTATCCAAAACAAAATGAAAGAATCTGCTCAGTTCAGATCCCTTACAAATTCCCTCTCAATGAAAATCTTACTATAAAACAAAGATTTCTAGACCCAAGAGGATGCTCACTAATGTTCTGCAGTACCCAAAAAAGTTCTAACATGATAGGAGATCTCGACTAACTCGGTGGGGTTTTCTACAATAAAGATATCACCCACACAGGTCTCTGATCTTAGCAAATGAGTTGTCTTCTTTGGTCATTGTGCCTTCCTACATTGGTCTGCACTTCGCAAGACTGGACTGGACTGATCTGTGTATTCTGTGAGCACGCCTTATCGGGGTGCATCCTGGTTACCCTTGGACAGCCTCTCACATTCAAGCTCTAGCACGAGAGCCCCAAGGGCCAGGACCACACTCAGCCGTGGCTCTGTGCCCCTCCAGGATGGAGGCCCCGGCACAATACGGATATCACCAGACTGAAAGGAACATTCCCGAAGGATCTATCAAATGGCAACATATTCTGTGTGGGGCTGGATGGTGCGGAAAAGACTGAGAGGGAAAGAGCCAGGTGGCTGTTGCCACGTGACTGGCTGAACTTGGTGACGGAGCAGAGTGGCTTTCTCAGCTCCGGTGGGTAACCGCCGCCCTTCCTCCTGTGGTCATTTCCCTGTCCCTTCCCAGCATCTACTCCCCGAGGGGGCATCGGGAGGCCCAGAGGTGCAGAGCCTCGGGCCACTGCCCACATTCTCCTTGCCCATGGTGTAGCTCTGTGCAAGGCTGCCCAGGTTCATTTCAAGAGATGTTCTTGATCGTCAGAACCATATTCCTTTCTGTTGGGGTTACCACGGAGCTCGATAACATCAGGTATCACGTTTCTTTTTCAAAGAAAGTAGCTCTTGAGTCAGAAAATCGAATTTCACATTGACATTTCTCAGCCTGATCAATTTATTAAGGAATCTTCCATCAGCTCTACAAAACCTAAAGCAGGGCTCCTTCCGAAGCAGCCAACATGACTGAGCATGCACTTGTCCTCGATGGCATTTGCAGGCCAAGATATTGTTATTACGTCTCATTTATTAAAGGTTAGCCCGGGGCTGGTGTTGTCTCACTCAGCTGAAAAACATTCATCTCCCCTCTTGCCTGTTCTCCAAATAAAGGCTCAGAGAGGCGTCCAGTCGACCAGAACCATCCTTTTGTGTCTGTTTACTGTACTTCGATCTGGGTTTCCTTCTCTTAAGAGCAAGAAACGTACTCTTAACAAATAAACCTTGCCAGTTCCAAAGCTGGTGAATTGCTTTTGTCAGGTCTACGCTGACCTTCTGCAAAACAGCCCGCTGGTATAAGCTTACAAAGGCATGCTTATTTTGCCATTCTCCTTAGCTAGGCAGAGAAAATTCTCACTCATCCATGAGAATGTTCTTTACATTTTTCCAGGGGATCAACAAGGTGACAGGTGGTCTGCAAAGCCCAACATGATTATTATTTTTCTAAATCATAGTTGTTCCAACTCTAGGTTTTTTTTCCCCTGATATTCACATGATTCCTGTTTAACCAAACCTCCCACTTCCATGAGCTAATAAAAGTGTCACGCAGATTGTTACAAAGAACTATTGTTATTTACAAGTCTACATTTTCTGTGAAATCAAAACATAATAAAGAGAATTTTCAGTGTTGACTTTGTTATTTTAAACTTGTGATAGTCTTGCTAAACCCCCTGGTGGAAAGAAATCCCTGCGGGTTATGGGAATTATTCCCTTGTCTTCTCTCAGGAATATACTTCCTATACAACATTATTAAGAGGTGGCTTTCAAGTTTGTAAAGATTTTCGGGGAAGACTGTTGGCTTACCTTACTTATAAATACTCGTGTGAACTCATGGGTAAGGCTTATATTCCTGACTGAGGGATTATTCCACATTTTCACCTGGTGTTGCCATTTAAGTGCTTACCCCCTCTAGGTGCCAGCATGCTTTGGCTGTGTTCATAAATTCAGTGTCTCTCCACAGCAGCTAGACCCACGCTGCTGACCTCTCCAAATTATTGCTTTCCATGTAGAGTGCTTGCTTTTGGTTAAAATGGTATTTTCTCACCTTGATTAGAAACATACAAGGTCCCTTGCCCCTGAATTGAAATCTGTGTGTCCTGACTGTGGGTGCTACTCACATGCAAGTAGGGAAAGCTTGGAAAATGGAAATAAACTCTCCTCCAGCAAAGGAAATCCACCCAACATTTGCTTTTCCCTGATGAACTATTTTGGGGTGGCCTGTCTAAGCAAGGTGCTGACTGTGCCTATCAAGTACCCCAAGGTGGCCTGATTGTCAGGCTGCTTGTGGTCCCTCTAGGGTGAGCTGCAGAAGAAGTAATGAGGTAATGATACATGTGTCTACATGGGTTCTTTGAAGACCATTTTCCCCAAATATTTTTGCCCAGACATTATCGATGAAACTTCCCTATTCGCTAGCCCTTCGGGTGAGAAGACTATCT